GAGGTCTAACTACAGGCATGTATATGTAAATATATTTATAAATAATGTAGGGAAATAGACCTATGTACATATATTTATATGTTAAGTATTAAGGTAGCAGACGGACATTGGGCCTCAAGTACTCCCTCAATGCAAGAACACTTTGTTCTAATAACCTGGCATTCTGTGATGCTCAGCTTCCTGACATAGTCGCTGAAGACAAGATGGGTACATAAGCAAATGTGGTGAAGAAAGCTGATATAACCCGTTATCAAAAGATATAGTGTCTAGGGCAGTGGTTCTCAACCCATGGGTCATGAACCCTTTGGGAGAGGGTCGAACGACCCTTTCACAGGAGTCGCCGGTTTTAAAACAGTAGCAAAATTACAGTTAAGAAGTAGTAACGAAAAAAAAAAACCACGAAAAAAAAGAAGTAGTAACGAAAATAATTTTATGGTTGGGGAGGTCACCACAACACGAGAAACTGTATTAAAGGGTCGCGGCATTAGGAAGGTTGAGAACCACTGGCTTAGGGTCTTAAAAGGCTTGGAAATAAAAAGTGGCCATCTAGCTGAGAAACAACAAAGTCCACATGGAAGAAGCACACCAGCCTGTGTGATCATGAGGTGTCGACGGGATCGGGTATCAGGCATCAAAGACCCAGAACAAAAAAATCTTATCAATGTGAATGAGGGGGACGGTGGAGTGGAGACCCAAAGCCCAGCTGTAGACAATTGGACACCCCCTAACCAAAACATCACAAGGAAGAGACCTTGTGAGCCAGTCAGGGTGCAGTTGAGCACTGATAAAATACACAACTTTCCTCTGGTTCTTTAATGCTCCCCCCCACCCCCTGCCACTATCCTACCTTACAAATCCAGCTAGACCAGAGCATGTACACAGGTATAGATAAGAGTTGGAAACACAGAACTTATGACAAAACTATAATTTATGAATTATGAAGGGTTCAGGAGGTAGGGGGAAGATGAGATAACGATATTCAAGGCTAAAGTAGAGGGCAAATGTTTTGAGATTGATGAGGGCAACAGGTGTGCATATGTGCTTGACTCAATGGGTGTATGTATGGACTGTGATAAGAATGGTACGAGCCCTCAATAAAATAATTAAAAAAAAAAAGAAAGCAAATCAGGTTATAAGAGTTTACCCATTATTAAAGGTCCAAGACTTCAATAAAAAAAAAAAGAAAAAGTTGGAAACACAGGCAATCCAGGACAGATAAACCCCTCAGGAGATTACCAGGAGGGGAAGGGGAAGGTGGGGGGAGAAAGGGGAAGCCGATCACAATGATCTACATATAACCCCCTCCCAGGGGGATGGACAACAGAAAAGTGGGTGAAGGGAGATATCGATCAGTTTAAGACATGAAGAAAAAAATTATCAAGGGTTCATGAGGGAGGGAGGGAGGGGGAAAATGAGCTGATACCAAGGGCTCAAGTAGAAAGCAAATGTTTTGAAAATGATGATGGCAACAAATGTACAAATGTGCTTGACACAATGGATGGATGGATGGATTGTGATGAGTTGTAAGAGCCCCCAATAAAAATTAAAGAAACACAAACGTGATTATACTACAGAAACTGCCATCGAGTCAATTCTAACTTATAACAACCCTACAGGATAGAGTAGACCTGCCTCGAAAGGTTTCTGAAACGATAAATCTTTGAAGGAGTAGAAAGCCACCTTTCTCCCTTGGAGTGGCTGGTGGTTAGCAGTCCAAAGCATAGCCCACGAGGCCACCAGGCCTCAGTGCTCACAGTATAAGAATTGATTGTTCTGTAAATCTGATTCAGATCTTGGAAGTTTCACTGAAACCTATCATCCATCATGGGTGACCTGCTGGTTATTTCGAATTACTGGTGGCACAGCTTTTCGCATTACAGCCACACACAAGCCACCACAGGACAACAAATGGACAGATGGGTAGTGATGGGAAGAAGCAATAGTTATTTTCATCCTCAGCTGAACAAGTATTTGTCGACGAGTTGTCCTTAGGATTGAGCGTAGGCTTAACATGGGAGTCAGATCAGCAAAGGGTGGAACCCAAGAGGAGAGCAGACCACAGCTTTTCACGCAGTCTGGTAAGCCTTCCTGATTTGGAGATGCCTGTTCAAAGGACTCTATGGGTTGTTTGGGATCTGGGGAAGTGCTTCGCACATGCCTGGCCTAAATGAAGTACTCATTGCTATCACAGAAGCCATATTAAAGGGCAGGTGCATTTTGGACATTTGGGGGGCAGTCGTCAAAGTGGTGGCACTACGCTTGGGGTCATAATATTCCAGCTTCTACATTCAGTAACCACATGACCTTTGGCAGGTATATGAGGGGGTACACCCCCCAAAACTGCAATTGCACAGGGCAGAGTAGAGCTTTTGTGGGTGTATTTTTCTCTTGCGGGCATGGAGCAACTTTCGTAAAAGCAGTTTCCCTTGAACCACGTTTTTTATGATGGTCAATTTAAGAGAAGCGTATGTGGCGGTGAAATTTTGAATCCTGCTCGGGGAAAATGCCGCAGATACTGTTGTGATGTTGACAACAAGGACAGCACCACGGGAAAAACGCAAGTGTGAGTAGTTTTCTTGTTCCAAAAAAGGTGAAATGTCGACTGATGACAAGCCTCGTTCTGGACATTTGTCAACTTCCTAAATAGAAAAATGTTGACCAAATCCATGCCCTTTTGCTCAAAGGTCAACAACAGACCATTGAAGAGATGGGGAAGTTATCTGGACTTATCTTGGCACTCGGTTCAGTGAATTTTAATGGAAGATGAGAAGGATCATTGCGAAATTTGTGCCTTGGGTTCTCAATGACCAGGAAAAACAGCTATGGAGTGGGAACATGCCATGCTTTGAAAGAACAGCTCCTAAGTGATCCAGATTCCACCCCCCAAAGTCATTACTGGTGAGGAGACATGGTGCTATTCTTACGACCCTTAATGCAAACATCCCTCAAGCCAGTGTCACCTCGCCCCTAAAATGCTGGTCAAGTGAAATCAAAGATCAAGATGATGCTCATTTTGTTTTTGAACGTGAGGGGGGATTGTGCATATGGAGTTCATTCCCCCAGGTCAGACCGTTAATCAAGCTTTCTTATTTAGAGGTTCTGAAAAGATCGAATAACAGTGTGCAATAAAAAAAAGGGCCCGATTTGGGGCAGACAGGGGACTGGTTTTGCCACCGCAATGCACCTCCTCATGCAGCCATCTTCCTGGGCCAGTTTTTGGCAAAAAACAACATGCCTTTCTAGCCCCACGTACTTTACTCACCTGACCTCTCTCAGTGCGACTTCCTTTTGTTTCTGCAAATGAAGGACATGAAAAGACAGTGATTTGACAACGTAGAAGAGGTGAAGGAAAAAACCATGGAGGTGCCGTGAGCCATCCAAACAGATGAGTTTGAAAACTGTTTCCAAGAATGGAATCACAGATTTGACAAATGTATTAAGTGTAATGGAGAGTATTTTGAAGGTGCTAAGGTTGATTTGTAAAAAAATTTAAATACGTAGCTTTGAAAAAGAAAAAAAATCACCTTTTTTTTGTACCCCCTTGTGTGCTTGCCTTTCCTGGGCAACTCTTAAGTGATTAGAAGAATTGAGAAGAGGCCCTAGTATTCTAGAGTTATCTGTATAGGGAGTGAAGGTAGTGAAATTGATGATTAATCGGGGACATGGAGGGAGTGGGATGGGAACAGTGGGAACCAATATCAATGTGTAAAGGGGAAAAAAAGCTACAAATTTGATTTTAAAACCTGTACAAGCCCCTTTGAGTGAGTCATTGAATTGTATGATGTTAGCTATAGATCGATAAAAAATAAAAAGAAATTATACAAGTGGCCTTCACAATATTGTGAAAATATGGTGTTAAAGATATTCTTCCAAGACCCTTTCAAGCCCCCTTGAATGTAATGCAAAACGGAGAACAGTGCTTAGCTCACAAGTGGTCTAGAGCTGCCAGCCACTGACTTGAATGGATCGACTTGCAAACCTGTCCTACAGGGAGACACCTTTCTCTTGAAAATCTCCCCTCACAAGCAGAGACCAGTCATCCTTTTCACGAAGCGAGCAGCCACTGTATTCGAAGTGGACACGGCAGATTTGACCATCACAACTAGTAACAGTGTGGTTCTTTTGTCAATTTCCCTTTCTGACTCCCAAGAGCTTCACGGGGAAAATGATGAACGAAGCAACAGAAGGACTACTCTGACATTTAAACACCAAGTTCAGATGAAGCCCTAGCATCACCTGTGTAGAGAGTGGACAGTTAGGTTGCTGGATGACTGCTTGCTTTAAGTTTAGGGACCATTCCTTGGCAGCTGTTGAGTCACAATTGACATAGGACCCTCGGCAGAAACAATGTTGCTAATGGAGAACAACGGGGCATTCTCAAACGTGGACCTTTCAAACACAGCATCTATTTCCAACGACAGGGAAAACTAAAGATGACACACAGTGATCGTTCTCAAGGCGAAAGCCTGTTGCCTCTGTGGGGTGATGTCTCTAAATCCAAAGTCTCCCCCGGCCCCCCAGTCTAATTTTAAACTTCATTGGGACATCCGCAGTAGGGTTAGATTCTAAACCACGTCTCTCTAGGAAGAGGTATGGGAAATGGAAATTTTAACAGTGAAAGGGCACAGAATGGGTGAGAGCATGTTGGACATTCTGGGTGGAAGGCAAACCTGGACAGGCAGTGGTCCCAGAAAGAGGCAAGTTCTGGGCTTCTGGAGGCAGAGAAAGAAGATCGAAGGGAATGTAGGAGAGGTTGGGAGGTACATGGAACGTTACAAATGTATTTGATGAAGCACAACAAATCACTAGGATTAACCGCTTCTGGGACTATCTACTTAATCTACTTGAGTGCATTCCTATGATGCATGGGTCCTCTCATACGGTGAAAATTTAAGTGCTGCTGGAAAAATTGTTTTAAACCATTGTAAGAGACACCTTAACATTTCATTTTCTGGAACAGGAAGTAAATAATGATTACATATGAATACAATAAACGCATCTCAAAAAATGATACTTTTATTTTCCATGGATTTAAAGATATTTTTGCTACACAGTTTATGCATTTTATGAGATTATATTTTTTCATTGTATGAAGTTCAACCTTATACAATTTTAAGGTGATATGTTTGGTAGTGTATCTATAATCTTTAAAAAGTTTAGAGTTTTTGGAATGTATAGTATATGAGGTAAAATCAAGAATACATTAGAAATTGTTTACGCCTCTGCACTAATTTTGCAGTGAGGTTCAAATGGCAAATACACTATTACATGACAATTACTATCAAAAATAGGTGTTCATTTGAATTTACTGTGAAAAACATAAGCCACTATAAACTTGACACAGTGGCACATTTAGCCATTTTCAACATTCAACGATATAGGAATCTCTGGGCGATTACACTCAAACTCATTTTTACTGCCAGATGTGGCACGTTTAAGAAGTTTCTAGAAAATAATCACAATCACGGTTGTTTTGTGGGAAGGTCATCAGCTTATACATAAGGGATTAATTTTAAATAAAATGTAAACATACAGTATATTATAGTGACAGATCATTCTTACCACTTGGAAAGGCCAAGTATATCCATTTCTTTTTTGAACTCAGATTAATGTTTTTTCAACAGCATAGATTATTTGACGCACAACAACTATAATACATGCCCGTTCTAATACAAGATTAATTCTTCAGGGAGCTTCAAAGCACAAAACATACATTTCTTTTTTGAAGACCAACAGAAGTGCTTAGTAATCACTAAAATGCTAACCTCAGCAACTAAAATTTAGTGATTCACTATTTAAAAATTCAAATAATAAATTAAAGTAGCTAGTTACAAGTGTTTTACAGATAACAGATGCGACGAAACAACAATTTTAGATTATTCCATTACAGACCGTGTAATTACTGGCAGTCATTAACGTCTACACAAGATGAACAATGTGGTACTTGACAAAATTCAACTGGATCATCCAATAACTCAAATGCAAGCTCACAAAACAATGAATTAAGCAACTGCAAAGTGCTCTAATGCAGCACTAACCACATGCAATCAACAATTTGCAACAGACACATTACATTAGATATGAGCTTTTCAAGGAAAGAAACTTTGACGTTTACTGGTGCAAATTAGTTTTGTCTCCAGATTTGGTGGCCCAAACACAATGGCTAGGTTCGATTATGAATTCTGATGGTGATGGCAGTAGTTATGGGAGAAGCAGCAACATTTATGGAAGTTCTTCAAAATTAACCCATAGCAGACAGATGGAATGTGTGTGTTATGCATCTCACACATACACACACACACACTTCTCTCTTTCACACACTCTCTCTCTATATATACACTCTTGGCATGTGCAATTGTTATTACATATGCCGTATGTGTATACCCTTACACACACATGTATAGATCAAAGTACCACAAACAGAATCCAAATAGGTTTGAAATTAGAAAATGACTTTAATTATTACTTTTAAAAGACTATCCATAAAAGCCCCCTCTTCTAAGTTTTCAAGATCTGAAGAAAGACTTTAATAGTAAACATTAAAATATTTTTGTCAAATCGCCTGCCTGTGCTTTCTGTAAGTGATTTATCTTTGAATTTATGAATATAATCTTGTAATGAAGAACTCTATCAAACAAGAAGCTTCTTTACTCACGTATATTTTTTCATCCAATTTTGTTTGCTTAGCCCCTCTAATCATCATAATCTCAATTTACCAAATAATTAAGACAAATGAGGAGGTAGAAATAGAGCACTAGATTGCTTTCACAGCATCAGACTTGAATGTTTTTTTGCACAGCATTTTAGTAAATTTTATTAATTCTGAATTTTTTACGTTGTAATAAAGAGATCAGGTTTATCATTGTTCCACTCATGCTGATTGGGCAAAATATCAATTATGTACTGTTGCCTCTTTGAAAGTGAATTCTACAAGAAGCACATATCAAAAAAGAAAAGAAAAAAAAAATCCCTAAACAACCTCCCCCACCTAAATTTTATTTCTGTGGCTTGCATTCTAAAAAGGTGCCAGCCTTTCCCTAGTAATACAAGCATTGTAAATGAGGTGCTATAGTCTCAATGCCGGCGCTACACGCCACTGTTTCTAAAAGCAATACGGACATCACTTTAAGTAGATGAGAAAATAAAATGGAGTAAGGACTGTAAGCACAGCAGCGGCGTCCTCACTTGATGACGAAGTACTGGATGATGAAGGCAATCAGAAGGGAGGAGGAAGCAAAGAGCGCCAGGATGATGGCCGCGCACTGCTGGTCGCTGAGCGCCCGCCGGCACCTGGCGCTTTCCACGGCGTCTCTGTGCGTGCTGGCCACTGGCCCTGTCTTCTGAGAGATGAAGAGCACTGTGGCACTATAGGGACCCGTGAGGTCCTGGTGTCCCACAGGGTCCTGGCACTGACGAATGGCGCACACACGGAAACGGTACTCACAGTTCAGCTGAAGGCTTGAATACCGGAATGAAGAGTCAGGGCCTTTGTACATCTGTAGAAAGAGGTGTGTAAAACTGGCTTGTTCAGAATGATTTTGACACCCAAGTTAGTATCAACGATTTTGTCTTTTAGGCAACATTTGAAAATAGCTATCCACTGAACGTATGATCTGTTTGCTGAGCACAGCAGGAGAAATTAGAAATGGGATGATGTGACATCTGCCCTCCAAGAGCTTTAGGGTAGTTGAGGAAGTGTCCCAAAGGGGCCACACTTCTGTCAGCGCAGTCTGTAAAACGTCAGGTCGTTACAGTCTGGCTAGACCAGAGGATGTACACTGATACAGGCAGGAACTGGAAACACAGGGAATCCGGGGCGGATGATCCCTTCAGGAGCAGTGGTGAAAGGGGCGATACCGGGAGGGTGGGGTGCAAAGGGGGAACCGATGACAAGGATCTACACAGAACCTCCTCCCTGGAAGATGAACAAAAAAGTGGGTGAAGGGAGATGTCAGACAGTGTAAGATATGACCAAATAATAATAATTTATAAATTATCAAGGGCTCATGAGGAAGGGGGAGCGAGGGGAAAATGAGGAGCTGATATTAAGGGCCCAAGTAGAAAGCAAATGTTTTGAGAATGATGATGGCAACAAATGTACAAATGTGGTTGACACAATGGATGTATGTATGGATACTGATAAGAGTTGTACGAGCCCCCAATAAAATGATTAAAAAAAATTCAGGTAGTGCCTATATCTCATCTTGCTCTCTATTACACGTTTGCACGCAAGTTAGATTTTTGTACAAGTTTTAATATATTAGTTGGATTAAACAATGCAGGAACGAGAAGCACATTCTACAGGCAAACATGGCAAATCATTTTATGAACTGCATAGTGAGGAAACCACTCAGTCTCACAGAATACGGTTCTAAAACCTAACACTCCTTACAAGGGCCATCCAAGAATGGTGCACCCTGGATTTTCAAGCTGCGTGCTTGCTAGTGAGTTTGCAGTAACACCGGCCACCTCTGGGTTTAGGTCCTATTGCTCTAAGTCACAACTCATGTGATCTAAGACGGATAGAAAAGTAGCTATCTTTGTATGGCAATCATGAGGATAAAATGCACTGATTCTTGTTAAATCACTTAGCACAGTGTCTAGCACCCAGTTAATGTTCAATATATGGAAACTGTAATTTCCAATAGTGATTTTTAGCCCATCCCCTCATTCTTTAAAAGAATCAAAACAAAACAAAACACCAAGCCTCACAGGGCCAAGAGACGTAATCAACTGAGTTCCCCCAGCCAATCGGTGAGCTATCAGCCAACAACTGGGAAATAAGCCTTTAGCTGGATCTTAAAGAGAATGGTAAGTATTCATTAGGTCCGAAGATGCAGATGTGTTTTAGGAAGTGGGAATGTACAAACCGTCCATGCCTGGGAGCTGGCAATGAAATACGTTAAGCAGAAGGTTGTATGAGGCTAATTTATTATTTTTTTAAAGGTATTTTGTCTTATGGATATGAGTGTGCTAAATTTTTGTCTTTAAATTGTTCTTGGTTTTCCATCTGTTTCTACATGAGCGTGGTAAAAATACAGTTTGGGAAAGCAAAATGCACATCAGAGAAACACAAAACCCAACAAATGGCATGAAAGTGACAGGTGAAGAGTGATGGAAGAAACAGGTTAATACACCAGCTTGGAGAATTTAGGCATGATTCAACAGGAAGCCACTTCAGATATGCAATATTAAGACAGTGTTTAAGGAACCCTAATCGTGAGACTTGGGAGCCCTGGTAGGGTAGTGAGCTAGGCACCGGGCTGTCAACAGTTCAAACCCAACAGTTATTTTGTGGGAGAAAGATGAGGCTTTTTGTTCCTGTAAAGATTTACAGCCTTAGGAACACCAAAGGATCAGTTCTACCTCATCCTGTAGGATTTGTAGGAGTCGGAACTGACTGGACGGCAGTCAGACAATCATGAGGCTAAGGGATCCTCGTGATACTGTGTGGGTGGCTAGTGTTAAGGTCGGCAGTTCCCACAAAGATTTGCAGTCTCAGAAACCCTTAAAGGCTTCTAGGATCAGAGTCAACTGGATGGCAGTGGTAATCAGTAGGCTGTGTGAGGCACGAGTGAAAAGCGTTGGGTAGGACAGTGGCTCTGAATGTATGTAAGGAGGAGGGCTATGAGGCCCAGATACAATTTCTATGAATCTACAAATTACTTTTGAAAAGGAGTTCATAGCTCTCCCACCTCAAAAAAGAAAAAAAAAAAATCTAAGGGGCCAAGTGTTATGATATTAATAAGGTGAGTAAGAAAATATTGGAGGGGATGGATTGGGAAGTAAGACGATGAGATCAAGTTTTCAATTTGATGTTTCCGATGATGGAAGGAGATCTGAGTTGTAATTCTTAAAGTTACTGTTTAAATTCTTAAATTTAGTGTCTATGGGAAAAACCCAGAATTGTGGGTCCTACTATTACATATTCAGGTAAATCAGCTCTTTTGAGAATCTGAGTCGAAGTTAAAGGTGGCAAGAAGTTGAATAGAGGCTAATGAACCACACTGTACTAACGAGACACAATGAGAGAAGCGGTCTTCATTCCCAGGGGGGGGGGG